TAAAATATCAAACTTACATATAATAAATAAATTTGACGTATATTTCAGAAGATTAAAATCTTACTTAATTAAAATGAAGAAAAAAGAAAATCAAAGGGCGACCGGTTTATACGAGTCACAGACGTGTGAAGGGATTATATAATTTCCAACCCCTCATTCTAACCCACCCTATTCAAAAGGGGATACTTTTCGCACTTTTCCGGCTTCGATTATCGCGTGAAACGCATTCTACGAAACAGAAGTGTAAGAATGAAAAGAGAAATGGTGGGGTTGAGGGATTTGATACGAATACCAAGAGATTGTGCACACACCACGTGCATGTATATATATATGTGTATCGGAGACGTTAAAATGACAATGATGGCGTATATTAACACCGTACACGTTCAGAAACGTTTAAAATCGTTTCGAAACAACAATAGGATATATCTCGGGAAGTATATTGATATCGGATTCGATTTTCAACGACATTGACATAACGTTTATAATTAATTTTTCACGAAACGTCAGCGTGATAACGACTGATCGGGAAAATTATGACTAGGAAGATAGACGTGTGCATGCGTACGTATGTACACATGCATGCGTACATATGTGCATGCATGCGTACGTATGATGTGCATGCATGTGAGTGGATAATATTCGTTGGCCCGAGATGATATCGATCCCGATGATATCCTAACGAAGATTAAATTTATTTCAAATAGAGACAACACGCACACATTGTGGAAGGTTAGGGGTGGGGTAAGGGGGTATGGTGTGGGTTAAATCGAATAAATCGTTTATCGAAAGAGAGGACTCGGAGTAAAAGATAAATTAACTAGATTAACAAGATTACATCGCTTACAATTCGATAACTAAAACTTTCAACATAATATTTGGTATCGTAATAATAACTAAAAGGTCCTAGGCAATCGTGTAACTTGTTGTTTGTGTATAGAACAACATCGATCGTTTTCTCTTCCCCTCATTCGTTCTCTCTCTCTCTCTCTCTTTCTCTCTCACTCTCTCATACTCATTCAGTCAGCCTATCTACCTGTCCTTTACTATCGTTCGGAACTACATTACCGATAACCACGAGGACGAGAAGCTTAGGAATGTAAAGCCGCTTGGCCATTTCAAGTAGAATGTTTCCTTTGTCCTGACGTCTATTCTATCCTAGCAAAGCGTACAATTTGAGAGCGATTCCGGTCGATCGGTCGTTGATACGAACGATACAATCTTCATCGAGAAAACGGGGTGGGGTGGAGTAACGTGAGGTGGGGATAAGTTAAAGGTGAACGTGTAGAAGGAATGAAAAGAAAGAAGAGGAAGAAGAAGATTAGTACTTATCGTGATATCTTTCCACGATCTTATCCGATTTTCTTCTAAAAACTACGAAAAGATCTTCAGGAAGATCGATCTCTAACGATCTTACGATCTATCGATCAAAATCTATCGGATATGAGAGTTTGCAAGGTTTTGTTTCACGTTGATTTTAATCTTTTAAGCATTACGTGCCATTATAGTGGCTTTCGCAGGTGCCATCTTCCAGTATAACGCGACAATATAGGGGCTTCCCATGAATGTCATCTTCCAGTACAACGCGACACTATAGTGGCTTTCACAAGGGCCATTTTCCAGTATAACGCGACAATATAGGGGCTTCCCATGAATGTCATCTTCCAATACTACGCGCCACTATAGTGGCTTTCGCAGATAACATCTTCTAAAATATATTATACCTAATTTTATTTTCAATTATTAAAATGAATTGTTTAGGTAAAGTACATGTGTATCATTTTCTTAAGAAAAATTACAATTTTAATCATCAAAAATTTCATTTTAATGTACCTTGCGTAAATTAACAGCATTGTTCGTCAATTGTTCGTCACACATTGTATAATAGTTGTACAGTTTACATGCAATTCTCGTTGAACCTTGCCGTACTGAGAAAAAAACCCATGCAACGTTTAGCAGTGCCTATGAAGTTAAAAACCAACGTGTTGAACTAGGTAGGAATAAACTAAACGAGATGATAGAAATATGATAAAAGAAATAATTTCAAACCTTGGAGGAAGGAAGGAAGGTAGAAAGGAAGTTAAGAATGAGAAAAAAAAAATAATATGAGGGTAGAGGAGGGTGGTGAAGTGTGATCGATGACGCACGGATTATCAAGCAGCGTGCAACCTCTTCCGCTCGCTCGACTCGTCGTCGAGGACTACTTAGCTTCTACAACCCACCATCACCATCACCACCACCATCACCACCACTACCAACATCACCACTACCATCACCACCAATACCACTTTTAACGTTTTCCATGAACCCAAGATCAATTCGCAAAACATATATCGAATACGACAATCGTAATACGATCGAACTCCTTCATGGGGTGAAGAGAGGAAGGAGATGGGGGAGGAAGTTGGGAGTTCGAGGTCATTTCTAGGTCTGATGTATCATTTTTTATATGACAACATCCGCCTTTTCATTTTTTATATATCAAATAATATAAATTTATATGCCCCCTTTTATCGGGTTGCTCGATAAGCTCGTATTGATTTTGTATAAACATTTTAAAGGTATACTGATGTCTATTTATATATATAGAATATTTCGTTACATGCATTTATTAAATAATATGTATTTAAATCTCGACATGTGAACTTTTTGAACAAATTTAATGGTATAAGTATTTAATCACGTTAGGTTTGTTTTTTGTATCAAATGTTAATACACCGCGTATGGTTTGAATAATTTTTAAAAATAATTTAATAATTATATTAATGATATAAATGTACAGAAATTTTACGGGCTATTCATAATATATATATATATATAGTCTTTATAATTTCAAATATATGGACTTCAAAAAAAAAAAAAAGAAAGGATATTTCCAAATATTAAATTACAAGTATTTAAACAAGATAAAATTGTACATTTAAAACGAGAGATAGTATATTATATTCTATTGAAATATTTTAATTCTTTTTATCATTTATTTTAACGTTTTTTATTTTTTTTTTTATTTTTTTATTTTTATCGGAAAAAATCAAACTTCCGTATAAAAAAAAAAGAAAATTATGAGAGCATGAACAATGCTTGATTATTTAATTGCATTTTTATATTAAATTATTTTATTTCTTTTTCTTTTATTTATCTACGTGAAATATTGTGCATCGTAAACTTTGAGAAGCATTGAAAAAATAAAAAATTTGTAAAAATTACGTTCCAGTGTTCGTTGATTTTACCACTCTCTTTTGCAACGTATTGTTTTATAATGTGTGAATATTCTATAAACAAAAACATTACTCGAATAATTTCAATGTGAACGTTTACTAACACGAAAGTAATAATACACACGACTTACACGTTTTCACGTATTTATCTAACTGTTAATTGTACAAAACCGCTCGAATACCTCGATTGATTATGGGTTTAATACATGCAATTGCTTTGTTTCAAATATATATAATATGCATAGAATTTTTAAAAAAGGAAAATATACTCTCTACTCGTATATTATGTAATTTTTCTCACATATAATATCAATGGTTTTCTACCCCCTTAATAACAATAATTTTTAATATCTACTTCTTTCTCTCTCTCTCTGTTTTTTTAGATAAATATTTTAATAATGCGATATTATTTGATTTTAAAGATATAAAAATTAAACAATAATATTCTTTAAAAATAAATTACAATATAATTTATTAATATAATTTAAATTTTATAACATTAATATAGTTTATATTAAATCGAATTGATAATGGACTAATAAAAATATCACTGCAACGCGTTATAAAAAAAAAAGATGTATCGATAAAAACAAAAAGAATTATTTTAACATTCTTCGAAAGTACTACTCTCTTAAAAAAAAAAAAAAAAAGCAAACAAATAAAGAATAAATATAAATAATAATTATGTATATAAATATATGTAAAACATTATAAAATAAATTATATATTATTATAAAATAAAATATAAATATAGAATAAATATAGAATATATTTCACTTTGATTATTCCATTTAAAAAAACAAATAAATATTTATTAAAAGTAAAACGATATATCAATAAAAACAACAAGAATTATTGTAACATTCTTTGAAACGACTACCCTTCAAAAAATATATTTCATTATTTCATTTTAAAGCTACTAAAAATTAAAACAATATTATTTCCTTTAAAACTAAATTAAAATTATTACATTAAATCAAATTGGTACAGGTCTAATAAAAATATCACTGCAACGCGTTATAAAAACTAGAAAGATGTATCGATAAAAACAAAAAGAATTATTTTAACATTCTTCGAAAGTACTACTCTCTTAAAAAAAAAAAAAAAATAAATAAAATCTTTAAAAGAATGTTCTCACACAGGCAACGTCTTAACTCTCAAGTCAGACTGTGTCGAATTCAAAGTCGAATCCGATCGAGATCGATCCGCTTTGGGTCGTCGAGTAGCTTCTATTTACGTCTCACGTTAGAAACGATACGTGCTTGTCAGCAAAAAGGAAAAAGATAAAGAAAGAGAGAATGAGAGAGAGAGAAAGAGAAAAGGGTAAGAGGAAGATTGGCTCAATCGAGATTCCCTCTTTCCGAACGTCTAGCAAACCAAATGCATTTTTCACCTTGTGCAGGTTAACATTTCGCAAGAGAAAAAGAGAGAGATCCAGTCTGCCTTTTTTTCTCAAAATAAAAAGAAAATAAAATGTAAGAAAAATATCGATCAAAAAAAAAAAAAACGTTAATCATCTATGGTGTCTGGTTTTATCTGTGACGAAGCATCTGGATCTCGAGATCGGATTTATTTTAAAGGCCACACGGGACACGACGATGACGCAGAGAACATAATGCGTGTGCACATACTAGTACCCCACTCAAAAAATACCAGTATATATGTAAGTATGTAAGTAAGTAAGTAAGGTTGAAGAAAAGAAGATAAAAAAGTAAACTAAAAAGTAAAATAAGAAAATAAATAAAAAGGAAGTATGTATCAGTAAGTAGAATGATGACTCACCGGTGTAGTATAAGGTTGACAAGCGAGTCTGATGCCGTCATGCCTGAGTTTCTCTTGCAGTAGCATCCTAAGTTGCATCCGAGGGATTCTGACCAATTCAGCTTTGCCTTCTTCATATTCATCCGCAAATTTAGTTAATTCTTGACCACCGCTCGAAGAACTAGCCGTTGGTGATGCCCTTTGTACATCCTTGTCGCTTGGTGGTCTTTCCGAAGACGTTCTCGATGATTTTGAACTAACATTATCGCAAAGACACTCGTTCGTTTCTTCCAATGTGAAATAAACGCTTGCAGCTCCCTCCTCTCTCAACGTTTTAACCGATTGTAATAAACGTGCACGGTGAGTTAAATTGAATACACCGATTGCGTCCAAATCGGGATCACCAATTTGTTTACAAATCTCGAGATCGTCGTAACCATTATCGATGAACGATTCGGAATATTGGCCGAGATGGAGCGAACGCAACCACTCGACCACGATATTGCTGGCCATTGTCATTTTGTCGTATTTATATATATTTATAATATCTTTGTATATATATATATATATAATTTTATATTCCAAATAATATAATATTTCTTTGGAGAGTTTTTGTCCTTCAATTATTTATCTATATTTTATACAATTTTCTACCTTCTCTTTCTCTTTCTTTCTTCTTTCGTTTTTTATAATTAGCTACTATACGAGGAGGAGCTCGTGTTTCGCATCATATTTAGAGAATCCCGTTTTCTCTATTCTTTATTTATTCTAGTTGTTTACAATATACGTATATAATACGTGTAAACCAATTCGTACGTATTTATATATATCTATGTATATATGTATCGTAGGGTGGTTATGTGCGTTGAGTTTTATTATTCGTAAAAATCGAGCTGGTTTTTCTCTCCTTGGGGCGTTCGTTCCAGCAAACGTACTCCTCCTCCTCCTCCACAACCACCACTACCACCTCTTCCTCTTCTCCCTTTCCTGGTACACGGCGTGTGTAGTACCTCTCTACAGGTGTCGTCGACGCAGCCCACCGTCGCGACGCCGTTGGGTCGATGATTCTACGGTCTCTCGCGGTATATATAATAAAAAAAAAAAAAAGGAAAAAAAAAAGGAAAAAGCAAGCGTGTCGATCGCGTCGTAGAGCTCGCTTATGTCGTTTCAAAAATGTATATGTGTGTATGTATATATATATATATAAATGTATATGACTACGTGGGAACGATAAAAAAAAGAAAGAGAGAGGAAAACCCCAACCGATCAAAGTAAAACAAAACGAAACGGATCAAAATCCCTAAGAGAGATGAAAAAAAAACCACCACCCACCCCCCCTCGTGAAAATGTTTCGCAAAAGTTAATCTCGATCGATTTTTTGGATCCCTCTGTTTTTGTCGTTTTTTTTTCTCCCCTCCTCAAAAAAAATAAAAATAAAAATAAAAAGAACCAAAATCGATCCTCGTTGAATGGAAAACACAAAAAAAAAAAATTCGTCGATGTCTCTGGGAGAGGCGCGTGGGCGTTTGTTGCGAGATGATCGTTCGTGAAAGATAAAAAAAAAATAAAAAGAGTTAATAAAAAAGTGAATGAGAAGTGGAGGAGAAGGACGGTTAGTTCGAAATTTTTGAGGTCGAAGAAGCAAAAGCGAGATAGAAAGAGTGTAAGAGAGAGAGAGAGAGAGAGAGAGAGTATGGCAGACCCGAGTAGCCGAGGACCGGTTAGAGTGCTCGACGTCCTCGCGGCATTGCAAGCTCACGCGTCTCGACGACCAGGACGATGGGAGGAGTATGAGAAGAAGAAGAAGAAGAAGAAGAAGGAAAAGAAAAACAAGAACAAGAGGAAAAGAGTAAAGAAGAGAAGCAACGTGAAATACTAAAAGAGGAAGCCGAATTCCTTTTCTTCAAAACCAACCAGCACTTCTCAAAATTCGCAAATTTCTTTCGTACCTTTTGTCTTTACTTTCACTTAACTCGTCAAATTGAAAAGAGAAAATGGGTAAGATTGGATGAGTAAAAAAGAAAGAAAGGACAATAACAATTAACGGGTGTTGGGTTGTCTGGTGGTGCGGCAAACGACGACGACGACGACAACGACGACGACGACGACAGAGGCACGTTGACCTTCCCAGAGAGAGAGAGAGAGAGAGAGAGAGAGAAAGAGCCTACAGAGAAAGAGAAAAACGATATCCTTTGGACGGGAACAGAGCAGCAGCAGCAGCAGCAGCGTTCGTTTCTCGTCGTCGAAACTATTCCTTGCCACGGTGACGGGGAAACCAAGGTCACTGACAGGACGAAGAAGAAGAAAGGACGCAAAGAGAAGAAGAAGCTTCTTTTGCTCCGTTCACTCTTCCAAATATCCCACACTCACTCACTCTTCTTCTTCTTCTTATTCTTCTTCTTTTTATCCTTGTTATTTGTAATGGAAAAATTTATCCTTTTTTATTTTTCTATTACTATTATTATTCTTATTATTATTCTTATTATTATTCTTATTCTTATTCTTCTTCTTCTACTTGTTCTACTTTGTTTCTTTCTCTCTTACTCCTTCGCACGGAGTAGAATATGAGCGACGAGGTCACGCGGTCGCGTCAAAAGAACGTTCACCGATGATTATCACGAGACAGCAGTAGTAAACAACAACAACGATTAATTTACGAAGAACAAAAAAATAATATGGGGTATACACGACACACCGTTTAAAACCAAACGTTTTCATTTATAACATCCGGGGAGGGGGAGGTCTCGTTCTTCTATCGAAGAAATATATTTCTTTTATTCGAAATATATTTAATATATATGTAGATATAAATATATAATATATTGAATGAAAAATTGATCATAGATTGTTTATCACCACAAATAATAAATCACGAAAAAAACAATATTGACGAGACTAGGCTCGCCGGCGCTCTCATAATCGCGAGATCGAGGAAGGCGTCATCCTCGCGGCGCACGGACACGACGAAGAGACGACACGCGACGAGACGCGCACCAAACGACGCTCAACGACGCTCTTCGACGCTACCGCGACGCGGCACACGGCTCGACTGCTGACTGAAACTCGCCAGAGGGAGCGTCGCTCGTCTGCGCGTACTTTCTTACCCCCACCATCACCAAAACTCACCGGCCGGCCGGCTTTTATGCCCCCACCACCATCACCACCACCACCACTGTCGGTTCTGTTCCACTCAACGTCGTGCCATCGACGCGATATCACCGTATTTCGTTCCATCTCGTTCCTTCGTTCATTCCTTCCTTTCTTCTTTACTTTTATTTTCTTTGATCATCGTATATTATTCGATGTATCACATACGATTTACTAGAAAAACTTAACCTACCCTTTATTTCTCTTTCTCTTTCTCTTTCTTTATTCTCTATCTTCTCTCGTTATCGTAGAATGAAGAATTTAATCCTAGATAGTGAGTACCGATAAAACTCGTTTACGTAGGATAGAAATTGCATGTTGCGATCGACGAGTTCTTTCTTACCCTTAATGACGTACGGATGTTATACTTGGTAGTTAAACGAAGTATATAAAAGTACAAAATGTTCTTTTTTTTATTATTATTATTATTTTTCAAGAAAGGAATCGCAGATCTTGATGGTTGCTGTGTATATATTGGTGAGATAGGATAGGTAAAGGTATAAGGTATGTATGTAGATAGGTATGTAAGTACGTACGAGAGCTGGAAGCAGCAGCGATTCGTATGTTTAGTACGTTCTCGTAAGAGAAGAAGAAGAAGAAGAAGAAGAAGAAGAAGAAGGAGGAGGAGGAGGAGGAGGAGGACCATAAAAATCGTATGCCCGTAGGAGGTACTTATGCAAAGTAACGCGCCCGTTGCACGGCTCGGCTCGGTTACGCGGGCACCTTAGCAATGTTTATGCGAAGAAAAGGGAGGTATCTCCGGTAAATTCTGGATCTGGTTGAAGAAAAAAATAAGAAAAAAGAATGAAAGATAAAAAACCCACATATACACGTATACATACATTGATAAATGTATTATCTATTTCTGTTAAAGAATGGTGGTGATCGAACAAACTTGTGTTACAGGCGTGTGTTAACATCACATAGGAGATTCGAATGCATGTATATGTATGTCCATCGGTCGGTCAAATTAATCAAATCGATAGAAGTCAGAAACGAGTGTCCGAGTCATCGAGACGGACAAAATTAATCGAACGATTCGTCGTGGACGTTGCCAGGACTCGTTCGTTGGATTCGTTCGTTGGATTCGTTCGTTGGATTCGTTCGTTGGATTCGTTCGTTCGTTGGTTTGTTCGTTCGTCCCTCCGTCCGTCTCATCGGTGACACCAGGGAGTGACAACTGCCTCTCGATAACGCGACGTGACGTCGCGTGCCACGGACGCGAAGGACCCTCTCGATGCTATTCTCGCTATTTCCTCGCTTTGATCGAGTAATTTGCTTTCCCAGGGTAAAACGACGGGGGAGGTGTGTGTGTATATGTACGTGTGTATTCTAGAGGGTAGGACGTTATCCATGCCCCCTTTCCCTTTCACCCTTCCTTCCTTCTATCCTCCTTCCCTCCCTTCCTCCTTCCCTTCTTCTCATTCACTCCCTCATTCTAGGAGGGTTAGGACGGTGGCACCCGTCGATACCGCGGATTCGTCGTTCTAGTCGTAATACGGCAAATTACTCGGAGTGGCGTATGCGTTTATCGACCATTGTATTTCAAACGGCCTTTGTCGGTGTTATATCATCTACCTCGATGATGAGTCGCTATCGAGATGATCTCTGCGTGACGATGCGAAACGCGTTATTTCGATGCCCTGATATCTTTTCGAGGAATCCGCGTAATCCGTGTGATAGCAGTCATCGCAGATCAATTCGAGCTCTGGCACTCTCTTCTCTCTCTCTCTCTCTCTCTCTCTCTCTCTGTGTGTCTCGTGTCACGAACAACGAACGTGATAGCTTTTCAACGATATGAAATGTTTTTTTATTTTTTTGCTATTTTTCAATGTCTACTAACTAACGGGAATAGTTGTAGTACATGAATCTTGTGTAATTCGATTGGATAGGGGTAAATTCGCGAACATTTTATAAAGATTTCAAAGAAACAGATCTTTTTCTTTCATTTCGTGTTTATTTTAGATTGTAAAAGGAAAAAAGAAGTATCTGAAATAAAAATAAATATATTTTAATTGATTACTTCAGCGTAAGGTTTGATCTTTTGAATAATGTAGAAAAGATGTTTTAAAATTTCAATGAATTAATTTACGAAGCTCGTAAAATTCTACGATTCAAATATCTTCGAATTTCGAAAAAGAAATAATAAAGATTATATATTATATATTATTTTTACAATAAATTATTATAAAAATATTATTAATATTATTTTATAATAATATAATATACATATAAAAATATTATTATTATTATTATTATTATAAAAAGTATCTATTATATTATTTTTTATTTCGTAATAACGTGCATCTGTAAATATATCTCTTAACTTAATTTCAACATCAATGATTCAAATAATAATCCTCGAATTTCTAAAAAAATAAACAATAAAAACTCTAC